GTCGGACAGATGACTTGTTCCTACCCTCCCGTCCCTATCCCGAGATTCCTAAAATAAACAGTGGTGGCACTGGAGTTTATAAAAAAAATAATAAAATACCGATAAATGTGATAAACAAGAAAAGAGAGACGCGTGATTAAAATAGGCGTTGGCCTATATTCAGGGACATAATCTGGTATCTAGCATCAAATACTGTACAGGTATCTAGATTCACATTAAATGTATAGGACTAGTTATAGCTCGCCAAACAATGGCGACAGCGATGCGTGAAATTCCCATCTATTAAAGTTACTTGACACAACATGAGCTCAAGAAATGCACATTTAAGAATCCCAATTTTTCATGCACCCCTGTCCTCCCATGATACGTCACTGCACACATACAATGCGGGGATTGAAATCCTTAAATCGTGAACAAGCTTCAAATTGTGAGGTTGACTCTCAGTTAATGACAACCTCACGTTGGTCATAAAATAATTTAAAATCTTTCTCTTTTCTACGGCTTTCCAATGAAGATACGTTGAAAAAATGGACTGTTAACGTAATCTGTAGAAACCACCAAAAAAAAAAAAAATGAATTTCACCGATTAAAAATGAAAATCGCTTTAAAATATAATTTTAAAAAAAAAAATGTGTTCACCATTCAGCCGTTGGCATCACAGACAAACCCTTTTTTTGTGTGGAGAATATTCGCATTAGAATGAACAACTCGGGGGATGGCTTGCTCATGGGAAGACCAGCTTGGGTGCTAACCTGGCTGGACTTTTGCTCTTTGTGCTTTTCAATAAACCAAGGGCCTGGCGTTAGTCGTCAGCTGAGAGATAAAGTGACCAAAGCCGTACATATTGTTGCTCATGGCATTCGTGTTGATGACGGATCCTAGACCTCACGGAATCTTCAACTCATTTTGGTTAACCACTTGCACAAGTAGTTCTCAACCTTCCTAAATCCCGCGGCCCTTTAAGACAGTTCCTCATGTTGTGGTGAAACCCTATACCCCCAAACCATAAACTTATTTTCGTCGCTTCTTTGTAAATATGTGTTTTCCGATGATCTTAGGTGACTCCTGTGTAAGGGTCGATCGACCCCCCCCCCCTAAAGTGGTCGTTACCCACATGCTTAGAATCACTGATTTAAACGCTTTAAATACGGCTGCCATATCCTTAAAACTGTCTGAAATATTTAAGTTTTTTTTTTTTTTAACTGCTTGTGGGCTGACTGCAATTTGAACGACATTGTTCATAATTCAGTGGATGATCACATTTGACTTCTGCATGTTCAGCAGTTTGACGGGGCACTTCTTGTATATTCGATTGATGGGAAAGCTGTATCAGATATTCTATGTCAAAGTAGCGCTGTTACATTATGAAGAGAGCTGTATGTAAAAAGCCTTACAAACGTGTACACAAGCTGAATGGCAAAGCTTTACAGACGTGTACACAAGCTGAATGGCAAAGCTTTACAGACGTGTACACAAGCTGCATGGCAAAGCCTTACAAACGTGTACACAAGCTGCATGGCAAAGCCTTACAAACGTGTACACAAGCTGCATGGCAAAGCCTTACAAACGTGTACACAAGCTGCACGGCAAAGCCTTACAAATGTGTACACAAGTTGCATGGCAAAGCCTTACAATTTTGTAGACAATCTGCATGACAAAGCCTTACAAACGTGTACACAATCTGCACGAAAAATAGTTATTAACACGAGGCTGTCTGTCAACATCTGGAAGTCAGGTGCGTGAAGTTGCATGTTGAAACTATTATTGAATATACAATTTCCCCATACAGAATGATGTTAATGTATCCCTTATTTAAAAAAAATAACGTTAGAAAAAATTGAAACAGTTCCTCAATACGACAGACAAACAGCTTTGTCCGCGGGCCATTGACACCACTTGGCAATCTATTCTCGCCCTCTGGTTGCACGGATTTCTTGATTGTTTCCGAGATCAGTTAAACATATTTTGGATGTAGTATAAAATAATAAGACTAACGCCACAGACCTCCAACTGGTCAACTATTGGGACTTTCAACCAAAAGCAAACACCAACAAAAATCTGAATGAACTCAAAGCCCAGGCTTGCTGTATCATTACAAAAACGGAGAGTTACATTAACTCATTCACGACGGATGCGACTAAATGCGTCTTTCTGGGGTTTCGGCGGATGCGTCCAAATGCGTCTGGTCACACCCCCCTACTTTTCTTTTCTCCCTAGTTATAAAATCACGCATCCCCGAGATTTCTAATGATAGTCTCGCGGTAGCGAGAATCCACGAGCATTCAATAAAAAAAACCGGAAGTTTTTATCTCATTTCGTTCATTTTCAAAGCGTGTTTGAACTAGTCGGGTCGTAGTGAAATTTTTTGTGACTTATTTTGTGAAATTTTGAAAATGGCCTTCCAGTTTCTTCAATCCCTTATCGATGGAAATGAACAATTGTTAGATGAGGGTTCTGATATTGAAGTGAATGAACTGAGTTCAGAATCTAGTGATTCTTCTGATGATGATTCTGTACTTGATAGTCCTACTTCGATGACCAATACTAACACTAATACTGCTAATACTAGTGGCGTGGAATGGTCTGATGGACTGTCCAATGTGACAGAAAATATGGGCGTATTTTCGGAATATGTAGGGAGTCTACGTAATATTCCAATTGACAAGCTACCTATAGACTTTTTAAAACTATTTGTGACAGATAAATGTATTGATGATTTTGTTTTACAAACAAATTTATATGCAAAGCAGCAATTGGCTAAGCAGTCTGGCCCTAGGGCATCTGCTATAACATGGACTCCAGTCAATGCAGATGACATTTACAAATATATATATATAAATATCATGTTTGGCTTACATCAAGTCCCTGATATGAGACTATACTGGTCTTCTGACAGTATGTGGAGGGTCCCTGCAGTGGCTGACGTCATGAGCAGAGATCGTTACCAGATGATTCATCGTTTTTTTCATGTCAACGACAGCTCTCTTCAACCCGCCAAGGACAGTCAACATTACGATCCCCTCTACAAGGTTAGGCCCTTTCTCGACCACATAAGACATCAATGCTTGTCACTATACAAGCCTCAGAGACAACT